ATCTGCAGGTGGAAAATATGTCTTCTCACTTGCAATCGCAATCACGTTGAAAACGCCGAGTAAATAAAAGCAAGGCGCTATGGGAACGTCGATAAGAGAAATTAGATTGAGCCGGCAAAATTCTGAAAGAGCATTATACTAATGAATCGATGGATCTTAGCACTCCGAGATAAAAGGAATTCAAGGAAGGAAGTAATCCACGGGAAAAGCAGAAAATCCGAATGAAAATTGCAACACCTCGATCGATCTTCCGCGGCTTTTTAAGAGCAAAACACAAGTCCTGCGAGGCCGGTGCTGCATCATTCGTTTATATTATCCGCGTTATTCCTTCGATCGTCCTTTTTTTATGTACAAGACGTTACATCACATATACACACACGTTTTTCCACACCTAAAACAAATTGACAAAGCCGTTCGAAACCTAATTGCATGAACTTTTCGGCGCGACTAGTGTATCAGATATTAAATAAATCTTATATAAATCCTTCTTTAAGAGGGCTTCAACAAAACAACGGTAAATAATTATTTATAGTCTGTATAGTATTATATGCCGACATTCTCCATTAATACTTCAAGTTCGATGTAGTCTGTTGAATTAATAATAAAATTTTCACGCGGGTGCTTCCAATTTTCAAATAAGAAATCAACTTGTTCGTTTGACCGAGAGTTTGTTTTACACATTCTACCTCTCGCTTTTGCGAAGCTTTAGAACTTAAAACAGTATTTCGAGTTGAGAGTTAAAGCCGAACTCACGCAGATATCCGAGGATTCACCAGCTGAGGAAGCCAGCCGAGGTAGACTGCACGTGGCATCCGAGACATGACAAATGACAGTAAATAAACATACGTGAGTTCAGTTTCTATCGTTCGTTTCTTGCTTATAGTAATAGATAGCGTGACGCTATCGAGGAGCCGAGCATGTTAGTGAGCGTGCGAACCCCTCACGTTCAGGTTCATTCAGACAACGGGGCAGGTACACGTCAATCTTCGAATCGTGTCCCAGTCGGGATAAATGGTTCTGCATGTTAATGCGATTTTGTCACGAACAGAGCTCGTCGTTATCGCGGCTAACGGAATGGATCGTGATTCCCGAGGTGATCGACCGCGGTCTTGGCCGACGTGCAACTAGAATATCACACAGAGTCCAGCAACGGCAGGGCCCTTTCATAACGTGTGCCAAATTTTAATGGCCACACTTGGCGTCCAAAGTAGCTCTTTTAATCAAATCGGCGTAAGTATAGAGTAGACTTCCTGGATACAAAGAGATATTCACCAGAAAGAGATATTTATTTCTGCGCATCTCATCGACGTCGTGATCACTCTATATCATGATCATCACCTACCATTTACTGTCTATTACTTGTCACCTGTTACTTGTTATATAAGTTAAACACTCTTTCATCTTCCAACTTTACGCGTGGCATTACAATTCAGAATATCTTACAGGAGGCATGGAGCCAGCGTAATCGCTTCGTTACATGCTCTCTCCAAATTTAGAAGGGCACAAGTCTGAAGCGACGACACGTTCTCTTATGGATTAAGTAATTTGGAACAACTTCTCATAATTACGTAACTCGTTGGCGCAAATTGAGGCGTAACTTCGCATACTTAATTGTAACTCTAATCTAAGGTGCTGTCGCGCAATTTCGAGTTATGGACGAGAAAATGGTTTGTAAATTAGCGCGTATAAATTTCGTTACGCCCACGGTGCGATACCAATTACTCGTACGACGGTTCTAATTTCACTTGGCAAATTGCGACCTAGATTTTACACGAGCTCAACAACTGTGATACATCATCCTCAAATAATAACAATAAGCACGGACGCGTGTATCTAATACCGTAAAAGTATGAAACACACACGCACACATATACACGCATGTTTGATGCATATTCATATCATGATGGGAAAAAGGTATTTCACGGCATCCCGCGATAACGAACGTTACCTGTGTAATAACAGTGATCGGATGAAGGTATTACCTAGTTACGGGCGGCATTACGAGATTAATGGACAGAATTGCCGTGAGCGTTTAGTCATTGATAATTCGCGCAAAACATGCATCGGTTTTTTTATTATGGAATCTCGACGAGCTGGAATCCGCGTTAGAAAATCGCAGTAACCCGAGGTTTGCCCGATGAGGCGACTGCATTTTACGGTAACAGTACAGTGCGGTGTACGATTGGTCGTGTCGCACGCGATCACGCGAGAGTAGCCAATTGGAACGGGCGCGGGACAGAAGCCGCGGCACTCTGTCATTATTCACGTCACATTAAGCAGTTATTATGTTTAACGTTACATTTACCCCGGGGGTTCGTTCGCTTCCCAAGTTGGATGTAACACATGAATGCTTCGCTCGATTACATCGGGCACCAGTACCGATCGCGCATTTAAATAACAGGCCTGTCGCGATGAACTTCGAACGTGTGCCGTTAATCCTTCCCTGTTTAATACTCATATTTCCTTTTTATTAACATTTTTTTCATATTATATATTTTACCTATAGTATTGCTATATAGTCTGCATGTTTATATTATAATATATAATCGTTGTTTGTTTAACACGTTGACTGCCGTATTCGGGTGACAGCAAAAGTTCTCATCAGGCCACGTCACCCGTATTCGGGTGACAGCAAGAGTTCTCATCGGGCCGTTTCCCCCTTACTTCCGTGACTCCTTCCAAAGGATTTTCGAACATATTTAGATAAATATTTGACAGGAGATAATAATACTGTTGAATTTTTTTAAAAATCGTTTATTAACAAAATTATTTACAGTGCAAAATATTGAAGCATTCACTGTAAAGTTGCGGTTGACCAGGGCAGCTTGTGATAAGTGAGGATCGTAGCAGATATCAGGGTGAGAGTACCGAAAGAAATGTAAACAGACATGCGGTAGCAGAGCACGCATCTTACAGTGGCACGGGTGGCCTGACGGGGATTTTGTTGTAAACACGCGTGGCAGTCAACGTGTTAATGGTGACGTTGAAACAAGAGAATAGAATTAATTAGTTAAAAAGTTGATCATAAACGTTTCGGTTAGTATGATAATTAGATCATTCCCGTTAAGCGCTATATATAACGATATATATACAATAACGCTTTATATACAATAAAACGATCACGTGGACGATTATTTATAGTACTCGTATGATAATTTATAAGGATTTTAAATTATTTTCACTGATTTACTTTTCTATACGTGGCATATTATGCGATGATGCTGATTCATTTATCCAATCATGCACCGCGGAATCGATTCTCTAAAAGTTGGAGGGAAAAGAAATCACAATCGAATTGAGATTCACGGGTCGTGATCCAATTTGACTTCGCGGCGGATAAAGGCGTCGCGCGCGCCGAGGGCCGGGACAATCGACTTTTTTCCTTAGAGCTATCGCGTTGGATATTCCGTGAGATGATTATTCTGTGGAACGCGGAAGTAGATCCCGTAATGCGGGGAGAATAATGGGATAGTGTAGACTCGACACATGTTATTTGGGATTTAAATTACAAGCGAGCGTGCTAATTTTTCAGGCTAATTTTCGTACAAATAAAAAATTAAGTACAGTTTTTTGAAAATATTTTAATGGAAGGGCAGGTTTAATTAATATCAATAATAATATGCGAGATAATAATGTTATAAAATGTAGCTAATAGCGTTCAAAGATGATCCATTGTGTCTTGTTTTGAAAACAATTCCGTAATAATAAAAAGTATGTATAAGTGCATTAAACACGGTTCTTGTTAAAGATAGAATAATAAATCTGAATAAAGGCTACGCGCATACTGATGTATATACATATATATATATATATATATATATATATATAAGCGA